GGGGGCGCAGAGCTGCCGGGAGCGCCGCGCTGGCCGGGAGCGCCGGCGGGGACAGGGACCTGCCCGTGCGCGGGGACGGACAGGGAGCGCGGGGCAGGTTGCAGGGATTCAGTGCCCAGGGGGTCCGGCCCGGCTCAGCACAGCACGGAGGGGAAGGCGGCGCGGGGGCTGCCAGGGGGTGGAGTTGCTGGTTTTCCTTTGAACACGGCAAGACTTGAGCTCGGGACTCGCGTCCGTGGAGCCCGCGGGAAGCGGCTCGGGGCTCCGGCGCCGGACACGCTGCGGGCGCCGCGCGCGCCGGCTGGGGCAGCCCGGAGCTGAGGGCACACGTGGCCCTGCCGGGGGCTCCTCGAGGACGTTTCTCCTCCATCCAAAGCGGCGTGAGAAGAAGGGAGGAGATTTGGAGCCCGCCGGCCCATGGAACGGACCTGAGCGGCAGGCAGAGACACCAACATTCCCCTCCCCAGAGGTTTGGGATTGCACCTGGACCATGAACGGGACCTTTCTCAACCAGAGTCTCCTGGAGGCCGGAGCTCACCCAAACAGGACCCAGGGCTTGGGGATGCTCATGGCCTGCTGCAACGGGACGGGCGCCGTGCTGGCCACCGAAGGCGGCTCCGCCGTCCTCGCGCCCGACGAGCGGAGCCTCTACATCACCCGCGTGGTGCAGATCGCCGTCCTCTGCGTCCTCTCCTTGACGGTCGTGTTCGGCATCTTCTTTTTGGGCTGCAACTTGCTCATCAAGTCGGAGAGCATGATTAACTTTCTGGTGAAGGACCGGAGACCTTCCAAGGACGTGGGCGCCGCGATCATGGGGCTCTACTGAAGCCCCCGGGCTCGTGTAGGCAAGTGGAGCGGTGCTGAGATGCAGCTGCCCAAGCGCTGCGGCACAGGGGGACTGGCAAGGAGGGTGGGGGTCCTTCTACCATGTCTGTGTCCACAGGGACCTTCTGAGCTGCCCAGGGACCAAACTCTGCTGCGCCAAATGGGGAAATCTCCCCCGAGCTACACAAAGCACAGCCTGGTGTGACCAGCCTTGTGTTGCATGCAGAAATGACTTAAGTTTTGCATGAAACTTGCAGAAATGGTGATAATGTGCAGATTCGGACTCTTTTCTGTTGTTACCTTGGATACTGCTACCTGGGGGTTAGGGCTAAAACAAAATAAAAAAAAGACGGGGGGAAGCACTGACAACGAGAAAACAAAAATGAAGCAAAGGGAAAGCAAAATGTGTAGCTTGGACCAGGCCATGGGGCAGGGAAGTGGCGCAGGGGCCACCCCACAAAGTCTGCATGCTCACAAACGTGTCTGTGTGTCTCTCCCTTGGACCTCAAGCATGGATCTTCCGGTAGCGTCCTGTGAAGGGAAAGCATGTTCTTCCTTGTTTTTCTGAGAAATTCTGTTAAACAAACTGGCACTTTCTTCTTTCACTCTACACCGAAGGAAGGAAAGAACCCAGTTAAACAATAATAGTAATAAAAAAGCATGCTTGGTTTTGTACACAATAGCCTTCTTTCCAAGTGCTATATTGTTACAGTCCTTGAGGTTTTTGCAGTTTTTTTGAAAACGAGTGAATATTGAGGAAAAAAAAAAAAGAACCTGTTTCAAAAGAATGTGGTGTTGCATTCATTTTCTCTCCGTGTATGTGTCTGTAGTTCAGGTGTTTCAGAGTATTTCCCAGGATAAATATCTCACCTTTGAGCTGAACTCTTGATTAAAAGTATTTACTGAAAACAGAAACTACCAACCTTCTCCCTCTCCCCATTTTTTTCCCCCCTCAATGCAACTATCATTTTCCACTAGCAAATAAATTAGGTTCTACATATTAACACCTGCCCAGTGCTGAGGTATGGAGCTGCATAAAGATGCGGCAAACGCATCTTGTAAAGCAAGATTTCTGATTCTGAGTTGAAATCTCCAGCCCTTCTGATCCCAATGAGCTGTCAAAGCCAAATTGTGTGAGGAGGAGGAGGGCTCCTGACCTTTGCTCTGTGCTGGAATTACAGCTCTGCCTGGGGCTGTGAGATAGAAGCAATTTGAGATTTGTTGTGCCAACAGTGTTCCTGCTGGCTCCACAGCTGTTATGGGAAAGCATCCTGGATCCTGGAGGAGCGGGTCCTCTGATCTACCTGGGTGGAAAATCGGAAGAACAGCTGCCTACCTGCCCCAGAGCGGGTGGAAACGGCTCCCATTGCAGGAGGTCTGGTCACGGGCTGGGTGAAATGCAAAGAACCCCCAATGCAAATGATGACCCCAGCTCTGCAAAAAACTTAGGAATGGACTTAGATGTATTGATTGCATCGTCAGGTTACTGAGGGATCAGTGAAGAGCCCGAGTGTGTTCACTTTACACAGGAGTCTGGCCCTCCCGGACCAGCCAGTGCCAGGAAGAGCTGCAGAAAAGCAGCAGGGAACTCACCGAATATCCTCAGATGTCCCCCACAGAAGTGGGGTGTGGGGGTCTCCATCCCTCCGGTGCCCTGGATCCTGCAAAGGGCAGCGCGAGGGCTGGTGATGGAGGAGGAACATGATGTTCCCTCCTGAAGGTGAGAGAGGGGGCACCCATGGAGGGGGGCTGCAACCGACTGCAAATCACAACCTGGAGCTTGCTCAGGAGGCCAAGTCCTGGTTTAACTGCCCCAGCGCCCACTCCGCGATGCCAATGGCCGTGCCTGGTGCGAGGGAGGGCACCGAGGCTCACTGTAATACTCTGATCTCAGGGGAAGAGCTGCCGTCTCAGACCCTAAAATCTCCCTCTGGGAGCTGCCCTGTACTGAGGGGACAAATCCTGCAGGAGGTGGTCACCCCAGGGCTTGCATAACGAAAGCAGACCACGTTAATGGCTCTTTCTGCTGCCTTTCCCCACAGCTAGCCATGTTTCCTCATCTCCTGCACTCCAGCTCATCTAGTTCAAGTTCATCAGTGGGCACTGGTCCTGAAGACTTTTTTTTTAAAAGGAGGCAAGAATTTTGATTTTTTGCAAACAACAGTTGTTGCTTGCAGTACATTAGCTGCCACCCTCACCAGGGAGCTAGGAGCTGTATAAGCTACCGAGGCTGGGCTGGCCATGAAGAGCAGCAGAGAGATGAGGAGGGAAGGGACGTGCTCGGGGTGACGAGCACAGCAGTGACAGAGTGAAAGACAGAAACTGAATTTAATTTAAACTCATCTCCTAGCACTGAAAGACAAGACAGCGATGCAATTGCATTGATTTGGGGGGCTAGCTATGCTGTTCTGAGCCACGGGTCTACCTAGTGTTCACTCTTTCTCTGAAAGCTCTCATGATTTTAGCCATGAGCTATGCAGCCAAGCAATTTTACAAATGGGAACTGCTTCTTGATGCCCACCAGGAGCAACAGGCTCTGGACTTCAGTGTCCACCTCCACGAGGAGCTTCCCAAGCCAGGCTGCTTCCCTGCTCTCTCTTCTAGCTGGGTTTTCTTGTTTCTCGACCAAAAGCAGGGGAACAGGAGGTGGAAAAGCTTTCCCTCCTGCCCAGCAGCCTGCTCAACTTTGGTTAAGTGCATCAGTTTTATAATTGGAGAAATGAAGAGGTGTTTGGATGCACCTAGGAAAACCCATCCTGGACCAGGAGTGTTGCAGCAGGGAATAACCCAAAACAAATCCCCTACGGTAAACCCTAACAGTCTTGAGTTAAGATAAGACAGACAACAAAAGAGTTAAGATAAGACAGACAAACAGATGAGAGGGGAGGGAGGATCCCAACCTGAGCCTGGCACCAGATGTACCGGAGCGCGTGCACCAAACACACACAGTATTTAATAATTCCTGAGAATTGCCATGGTAATGAAGCGCTGAGTCAGGTTGTTATGGTAACTGCCTTTTTTTTTAGGCAGGGAGGCATTACTCAGGTTGTAACCTCAATCCAGACTGTGTACATACCCGAGAACCCAAAAAATAAAAAGTAAAATAAAAATAAATGATATACCTAGTGGAGATACCTCTTGCCTGGCTGTTCTGGCCTTCTTCTGTAGGTAGTGGGAGAGAGAGGTTGTTTCGGATGCTGGGCGCCCTGCAAAGCCTGGGAAGCTGCTGGGATGCATCCCTGCATGTGTGAAGCCAAATGCTGCTGGGAATACGGGTCTGGAGCCATCATGGATGGCCCAGGATGCTGCAGGACAACTGTGATGCGTGGCTTGCTGGTGTCACGTGTGTCCCCAGGTGGTCCTAGGGAAGGACTCATGCAGGACTCTGAGTGTCCTGCACACGAACAAACCCTCTTCCCAGCCTGCGTCCGAAATGGGAAGATCCTAAAGCTGGTCTCCAAGATGACACAGGTAGGTTAGAGGATGTGGAGGAGGTTCAAGATCTGCTTCCCTAAAGCCCCAGAGCAGACCCCAGAAGAAAACAACGGGTTCTTTAAGCTCTAGCAAGGTCCCCAAACTACCGTGCTTCCCAAAGAGGTACCCCTCAAACCAGCGGCCAAACCCCGTGACGTGACGTGACCATCACTGGATGAGCAAAAGCCACTTTTTCTCCCCCTCCAAAGCCACCTCCTCTGATAAGTATATGAGGTTTGCCCAGCTGCTCCTCATATTGCATTTTAATTTAGTGCTAGTTAGATCAGCAGCTCTGTGATCCCCTGCTTCCAATTAAAGAAGATGAAGGAGAGCATGCAGGGCTTCACTTAGCAGAGCGATGGCCTGAAATCTGCAGTGCAATTACTGGGGAATGTTACTGCAGATGTCCCCACTGCAGCCCAGCATGGTTCTCTCACACTGCTGGTGTGAAAGCCGTTAGCCTCCGGATAAAGCTTTCGTGGTCCATTAGCTCTACCAGAGAGGTGCAAGTTGGCGTCAGGAGAGTTGGGTACCCCAGGGAGAATGTACGTCAAAAGATGAGAGAATTTAAGAGCCAGCAATGCCTCACAGCTGGGCAGACTCTGCCTACCCATTTCCCTGTTTAGACTGGGCTCTTCATCTTCCAGTTTTCCTGTCTTCTCAGACAGCTCTAAGAAACCGGCCCTAATGCTGAACCCAACTCACTCTTCTCCAGCATGAATGATGGCTCTGAAATCCCAGCCCTGAAGAACATATCCTTGGAAAATACAGCAAATCCAGAGAAACACCAAAATCATCAATACCCCTGAGAACTGCCCATCATGGTGTTGGATAAATCTTAGAGTTCACGCTAGTTTCCCATTGAAATGACTTACCCAAGCAATTCCTCAGCAGTCTGATCAAGTGGACACTTCTCTGATTTTACAGACAGGAAATTTCTTGGATTTGTTTGCTACGTGAGGACATGGTTATGGAAAGCTTATTTCAGAGAAAGTGAGGATGTTGTCAGTAATCAATGTGGTTTGGCAGATCCCTGAAGCCGTCACTGAAAAGGTGCTGAAAAGTGGTGGAGGCAACGGCAATGCTCAAACACACAAGCAAGTGTCTAAAATGGCAGTCTCCAATCTGAAATATGTTGCTCATCAACATGTATTTCATGTTGTAAATCTAACTTCAAAGACACCTTCGCAGCTCTCATCCTTCCCAGAAGCTTATTAGTCTGAAAGATGCTCTCAAATCATTAACCGAAGGCAGGTTAATCAGCAGCAAAATCTTCATGACAGATTTTATCACACTAGTGCAAGAAGCTGAGAGTTGGGCACAACCCTGACGAGGTTTGCTCTTCTGCACTGCCACCTCGGCTTGGGGTCACAGATCACTTGTAAGGTGAATGCAGAGGGTTTTTGGCACTCTTCCTGTCAATCTACAGCATCCAGCTGGTCAGGAACACGAGTCTTGCACATGACAAAGTGCTCTCAGCTGGGGTGCAGGCAGGAACAGCTGCTAAACCAAAACAACTTTCCTCTTTCTCA